ATTAAAAACATTTTATTTAGGCCTATCTATGGCCTTCAAAAAGTTGACGACTCTACATGTTTCGACGTTTTAACATGTGGAAACAAAGAGACCTCAACCAAGTGCCCCTTTGGTAAGTGATGTACGAGAACCACTGAGTTGTCAGAATGGAGCATAACAGACTGGTTCTGGAAAGATGGAAGGAAGTGAAACGAAACCTGACAGACAGCAAGCAGTTTCAAGAGATTAACATGTACAGATGACTCATCAATAGACCAATGGCCCAAAATATTTTGCATGTCCAGATATGCACCTCCAGATGAGGAGGAGGAAGAGGAAGACCCACTGTGGTGGGGTCTCTGCTCAACCACCAGGCAAAATCCACATGAAGGGAAAGAGGGAAATGGATAGGAACATCTAAGGGATCCTGAATGAGGTTCCACTTATCTTGTAAAGCCCACTGAAGAGGTCACATGTGGGCTTGACTGAGGGAAATTAGGGCCTCCAAATAAGTCCACATTACTAAAACAGATAGAATCTTTTGCACAGTTGAAGAAAGAGAGGAAGAAATGTTCCAAACCAGAAGCTCCATATATCACAGGCAAAGGAAAGAAGGGTGAGCCCAGCCGAGACAGGAATATACTGACATGAACAAGATATTGAATGTGGGAGAGGAAGGACTTCTCCACCTTGACCAGCCACCCTACTCATGCAGCCTCTTGAAGAAGAAACTAAGTGTGAAGGGAAGAAGTAGCACACGAAGGAGCTAGAACCAGCCAGTCATCCATATAATGGTGAGAAAAAAATGCCTCTGTTATGGAGAAGACAGGCAAAGGCCTTGACAACCCAACAAAGTACCTAATAGAAGAAACCAAGATGGATAAAATGAATATAATGCTGGAGAGATGGAGGTAAGCATTTGAGACATCTAACTTTGTCACCCAAAGACTACATGGTGAATCAAGGAAGGTCTAAGAAGCAGTTCAAGGAAGAGAGGTCAATGATGGCGTACCACTCTCCAGTCTTTTTGGTGACTATGAACAAATGGGAATAGAAACCCAGCTGAAAAGGATCTCCCTGTTCTACAGCACCCTCATGAAGATCTAGAACTGCCTCAGAAAGGAGCTGGCTGGAAATGGGATCCCAAGGCGGGTGGAAGGATATAGGATGAAGGAATAGGGGAGAAGGGGAACTGAAACAAAAAAAGAACGAGCCCTTTGGAAACAACCTGCAGAACCCAAGGGTCTGTGTTACAGGACTTCAAAACAGCAGCAGAGCACAAAAGACTGGTCCCAACAGACTTGTATCCACCACGTGGTGACTAGGACCACTGAAGGTGCTGAAGCTGTCGACAAACAAATCCACAGTTAATGTTGGAGAACCATGTAGCAGGCACTGGTAAAAGAGAGAGGAAGGCAACATGGAAGGAAATGCAAGCACATACAGTACGAGTTAGATTTCAAACTGTCTTGTTTTTCCCAAGTATTTTACTTGAGAAACTTCATATCAGCTGCATTATGTATGAAATGTACCATCAAAAAATAATTTATTAAGCCAAGTTAATGAGTACTTCGTAGAAACACAATGCACTTACTAACAACTGTATATTTATAGTTACACTAAAAAATGGTCTCTACTTGAATTCTGTCCACATATTCCATCTTCATAGCCTATATACTAGAATTTTGTTTGCATGTCTAATCATGATCATGTGCAATTCAGTCAATGTAAAGAACCATGCTGATTGCAATTCAGTTTTCTTGTTAATGAATCTAGATGAATAAGATAACATCAGTCTGTGTTAATCTAGAATGAATGATTGAGCCATGCTACTATACTACAACCAATTAAACTAACATGAACTATGTACTGGCTACCAATTACATTTATCAAATTATTAATAGACCTTAAAAGGGACATATTCTACACCCTGACCTTGATTAGCTATACCTATAGCAGAACTCAAGTACCCAATTACCCTATCGAGACATGCTGGGGTATGCTCAACTATGTTAATCACTCTCAATAACTAAACCAAACATTATTGTATTAAAGTTAGATTACACAAATTAGGATAAAAATAAATACAATTTAAATATGCTTAAAAAGTATTTAACAATCTAAATATGCAAGAAAAATATTTATAACAACTAAAAGCTCAAAATAAATATATGTGCTAGATGACTATGTAACCTCAGTTCAATCTATAAAACAAGTATACTTGGCTTTATGTTAAATATGTAACTAGTACACACAAATGGTTAATTCTTCTTAAAAGTAGCCTTTAAATAAATAATAAATAAACTCAACCAGCTACCTAAACATACGACACTATAATTCACATGGGAGGGAACTAGCTTATAAAACAAACTACAAAATGAGCTAATGACTAGAGCCATGGTTATCTTAATTTTCAGAGATCTTTATCCAGTGGCGAAATGTCTTGTCCATTAAGTAATCAACAAAATTGTCTATGGGTTTAACAATGAAAGGAATACAACCAAGACCAAGTGCAGTTGTTGTCCATTTTCGAGTGGCAGGTGGAAGAGATGTCATCTTTCTCAAGAAAAACAGAGAAGTAGCACAGACACGATTGATGGTGAAACCTGGGATGATTACAGATGCCAGACTCTGCCATATCAAGGTGTCACTAGCAACATGAAACAGTTTTTTATGCTGCATCTCCTTACTGGTTGACTGTACCTTGAATACAATAAATTGATTTAATTCTTTTGAAAATTAGTTCTAAAAATGTAGTCCAAAAGAAAAAAAATATATATAATTTAAACAATTTATTATAAGTTTGGCTCAAAAGAATTTGAGAATAAACAGTAGTTTAAAACAAAGTACTATACTAGCCAACAATAATGAAAATTCAAATTTATTTTTAGGCTTACAGCCTTTTGGAAGGAGATTAACCCTATAATATATATATTACAATTCAATGTTTCAACTATATTATATATAATTTGAACATAAAATCTATAAATGATTTACAAAATTTAACTTGTTATATATTATCTCCTTATTATAATGCAAAAATAAACATTATTTAAACAGTTAAGGACTGCATTAAAAGAAGCAAGACCAAACCTATTATGAAATAGAAAATTTATAATATAAAACAAACCTTAAAAATATAATGCTGCACAACGAGAACAATGTCACCAGGGCACAGGCTATAGTGTGGAGCATAAGATGTGTCCTGGATTTTGGAAGTAGGACCATGTAGCAATGAGAATATATTGTCTATCAGTCTTAACCTCTTTTTGCAAAACCTCACCCAATGAAAATAATAAATAAGATGGTAAAAATAAGAAAACTTAAATAAGAGAGAAAGATGTGGGTGCTCAAGTCCACATCTATATCACTTTTCATTACCTGCAAACAGTTGTGGGAAGGTGACTACTCTAAAAACAAAAATGAGAGAGAAATAAGTTCCTATCAATGGGGAAAGTAAGAATACCTTCCCTACTGAAGTTACCATTTCAGCCCAGTTATGGCAGCAAAAGCTCAAATTAATAAGTTACTATCAGTTGCACAGCAGGCAAGTTATACTAGAATAACAAGTAAATAGTTTTTAATCTTTGCTTCTTTTCTTAATTTCTATAATGGGTAGATCTGTCTCTCTACATTTATTTAAACATCTCGTCGTCTCCCATATGTTGTTAATAGTTGCTAATACCTATTCTTTTATTTTAACCTTTTATTATTTATTTTTTCTTTACATGTGAGGGTTAGCAAATGGGGATTAAGACAATGTAAGTGCTATGTACATCCCATTTCCACAGTAACCTCCAAAAACCAGGACACTCTTATACCCCACATTATATAATCTGTGCCTTGGTTGAATTTATTTAATGAAGGATTGTGTGAAACTTGTTTATATACTTCACAATTATTGTTTCTTTTTCTAATACTTTCCATATCTAGACATCTCCAAATTTCCTTCCAATTCTATATATATGTATTATATATTACCGACTCTTGTTTCCTTTGCCCATTTTTTGTCTTATCTGCTACACAACCACATCTTACACTTGTTACAGTTGAATTTATATTTCAATCTCCGTTTTTTATCTTTCCATAGATTTTTCAATTGTACCCCAATTTTGCTCATTTGTTTTATTATTATTGCCTCCTTAATCTTTTGTTTTTCAACTCAAGTTTCCTTAATCTCTCTTTCCACTCTTCTTGAAAATTCTCTTCTTCTACCACTTTCAATGTTTTGGTCATTTTCATTCCATTAGTTTCAATATGTCTAAAACATATGTACAAATTTGTTTCATTGTACAATCAGCCATATTGGTTCTTCCTACCTCCACCTACCAAATGTAGAGTATATTTTTGTCCAAATCCAACATCTGTTTTAATATTTTGGTTGCTTTCTATCTACTGGTTCTTCTTTCCTTTATCCCAAGATTTATTTTAGATAGTTAATAAAAGTATTTAGCAGGCTTTCAAATAGTGCAAATGTATCTATATCCTACTTCTTTTTGTTGCATTCTATGTTGCAGCTACTGTCTCAATGTATTATATCAGTTCTCTGGTTATATTCCAGTTACTAAACTAATATCCTAGATATTTAGATTTTTTAACCATCTTTAACTGCTGACCTTTCCACCCCCAATTTTTAATTTTTTGCTGTTCTTTTCTCCTTTCTAAAAGCCATCATCCTTTAATTATCTAAATTTAGTTATTTTATATATATTCTACTCCAAATATTTTTCAAGTATCCTAAGGATGCTCTTCATTTCCTTTGGATAATACACCATCATTATGATGTTATTCACATTAAATATACTGTAACATTCATAAACATACATTCTTGTTCAACTGCATTCACTGTCCAAAAACTCTTTCTTTAATTCTATTTATGGTTTCTTTACATACACCTTTTTCATATCTAATGTTCTCCTAAATATTCCTACCATCTCCATTGATATTCAAATAACTTCTTTCTAAACAAAGTATCAAAAACAGCTTTTAAAACCTATAATATATATATATATATATATCTGTCATCTTTCTTGTAATTTGTTTCTATCAAGACATTTCTTATAGATTTATCATATCTGATGGCATATCCTTTCTGAAATCCTACTTGGATTTCCTTTAATATTTTCCTTTGTATTAACAATTCATTAAAAGTTTTTGTAATTTTTTCTAGTCATTAACTTGTAAATCACATTCAGTAATGACACCACTATAATTTATAGTCAATGTAAAATGGTTAGATATCCATCTCTCTCCTTTTCTTTATACATCTTGTCTTCTGCATACTGTTCATAGTTGCTAACACTAATTTATTTTTTCTGTTACATTCCTATAAAGTTCAGTTCAACACCTTGTCCTAGTCTACTTTCTTTCTTAAACTTTTAAAATTTTCCTCATTCATTATTCCTCTTTCAACTCGATTTCCTCCTTTCCTTATTCCACATACTGTTGGTCAAATGTCCTTTCTATTTTTCATAAATGTATTCAAAAGTTTGAAAAAACTCCTTAGATGTTTTAATAATTTCTATTTCTCTACTTTTCTTTTCCTGTCCTTTGAAGAGTTTTCAATTAACTCTCTACTTTCTTCACTCTTTAGATTCTCGATCCAACCACCCCTATCCTCTTCTCTTTTAAACCTTCATTCCTACCCTCACTAGTGTCAATTTCAAATTCACATTAATTTTTTCAAAAACTTTTCCTTATCTTCTTTATCTATCATTAATTCTACTCACATCATTTTCATTTCTGTTCAAAAACACATTTTTTATCCTCTTTCAAATTCTAAGTTTTATGTTCTAACTTTTTTTCTTCTTCTTGTTTTTCTATTATTCAAACTACAACTGACACGTGATCTAATTCTATCCTATTTTCTACCCTAATCCACTTAATAATTGATTCTAGTTTTTCTCTTTCAATTTGTGGTTGTCTGTCTAAAGGGAATAAAGTCAAAATGTTCAACACTAGACAGCGTGAAAATGACTGTCTCTGTTGTAATTCATGACATGGAAAATAAAAGCCACAAAATTTGCAGATATAGAATTGTTTGAAAATAAGAACAAAAAATATTTTCATAATAGTTAATAGTTGGTGTTGTAGATAGTTCAGTGAAAAATTGATGATGAGAAATCTCATGCAAGAGACACCACCAAATCAAGAACTGATGATTGAACCATCAGTCTGAAGGAAGTCAGTTGTGCTACGAGGCAATGTTGTACTCCTTTTGATGGAGGGTTGTCACATGCTCATTTGCATGCTATCAAGCAGAAATATTGCATGAGAGTAGATGGGGGCATCAAGGCTAGTGAAAAAGTTTGTATGTAAAGTGCAGCACTGAATCAGGAAAATTAGAGAGGTGAGAGGAGGTAAACATGCTACTATCACAACAAGGGTAATGAGAGAGAGAGAGAACTACTTTAACCTGATGATATCCAAACTTTCAAACATTGTACATTTGTCATTACATTAAACTTTAATAGAGCTTTCTTTGGTAACTGTACAATTTGTCTCTTAACTGTATAAGCTTATGTACATTAACTCAAGTTATCTTTTCAGTGAATTAATTCCTGCACCTTTCGAACTTGCATAATTTAACACAAATGTTTTTACTGTTCATAACAAAAAAAAATACGAAATTGAAATAAACAATTACAGAAATCATAAAAAGAAAACGATTAAAGCTACACATTTACTCTATTACTAAATGATAACCTAATTTTTGTTCTATCCAATCATATTCCATCTTCCTTTAGAGATGTTCTCAAAGCTGTTTTTCATTATCAAGTAATCAAACCACGGCATCATAACTGGATTTCAACCAAGTCTGTACAAAAAGTAATGGGAATGCTTGAAAATAGGGGAATGGATAATACATTTAAGGGGGGGGGGGAGAAGAGATCTATGTTCTAAGTGAAAATGAAGTTACTCAAGAGTCGAGCTAGGTGAAAATGGTCCAATAGGGAAGAAATAGAAGAAAGAGAGATAGGAGAGAAGTAAGGTGTATCTCCTAAGCAGTTGAAGCTCCAGGAAGAAAGGAATAGGTTAGGGAAAAGAAAATATACATACGGTGGAAGAGAGTGTGAAAAGCAGCTAAACTAACAAGAGTAACTGTAGAAGACGGATAGGAGGTAACAAATCAGGAGAGAAAAACAATATAAAAGCCAGAAAGTCAATGATTCAAATGAGGCATGTATGAGATTGTGAAAAATCTCATTAAGGTCTCAGTTAGGCACGGAATGTAGGCTAGAAGGACTAAGGAGAATGAAGAAACGGAACAGAACAGAGAGGACAGGGGAAGAAAAACCTCCTGGTACCAGGGACATGTCCCTCTGAAACTAGGAAATGCTGAGACCAAGAATCCATCAATAAACAGTTGAGTAAGAAAGGTGGTATACATCATTAATGCAGAGGGAAAGGGGTGGCTAAAGAATCAAAGGCCAAAAACTACCACAGATGGTGATAGACAAATACTGTGGAATGATGATAGGATGTAATGAGAATAATGCCACATTAGAAGAAATTTCTGGCTAGATAGGGAACAGATTGGGCAAATTCTAGGTGAGAGGGTGAAGGGAAGATACCCTTCTATGTAGAAGGGAAGTATGAGAATGAGAAAAAAAGAGAGGGGGGATATAATGGGAAGAAGAAAGAGGGTGTCCAAATATAAAACAGACCAAGGCTAAAATGGTCAAGGTGGCACCAACAATAGG